TCCACAATCGGGTTGATGGGTCATTCGCACACGACGAACAATCGCATGGTCATTTCTCCTCGTAGTTCCCCTAAGTGTCGGCGTCAACATTGCACTACCAGAAATCCACAAAACACACGTACGTTACTTTACAACGCATTGCCAGATGACATTAAACAATTAATAATGAATTAGTTAACATTTGTATAGTGTATTTTTTTAAAAAGGTTAATGTGATTGTTATAAATAACGTACTTCAGCTTTCGGGTCCATGACTCCCATTTCGATCAGGTTTCTGTCCAGTTCCCCAGATACATTGATCAAATGCGCAGATGGGCTCCTGTTTTGCTTCTGGACGTAAATGTAGCTTCACTATTCGCATGTTTCGGTGAACTCTCCTTTGCTTGTAGTGCTTTTAGTAGGAGTGGAGGTAAGAGAAGAGTAACTATTTTGTTAGCAATGCAGAAAAATCAAATCTGCAGTTCGTTCAACAGTTTCAAATAAGTATTCTATAACTCGGGAAATAAAATATTTAGTATTTCAAATGTTGAGAATGTCGCACTTTTTAAAATTTTATTTTAATTACAATATTTTTAACTTTTACTCATATTTCAACTATTTATAGTTAAAATGATCGGAAGGGATTCTGGATCTCAAGAAAACGTGCGCTGATGATCTCCCCCATACGTCACACACAGTTTTTTACTTATTTACTTACTAAAATAAATAATTAAAAGTATGACAGTATGTCATGTCCAAATGATCAGAATGACAAATTATTTAGTAGATATGGCCTTCTCGCTTATCGAAGCCCAACTCTGCAACCGCTCTAAAATTCCTCTACCTTCTTGACTTGCTTGCGCACTTTTCTTCTTCACTTAAAGCGAACGAATTATAAATAATCATAAAATTACGAGTCAGAGCGGAAAGCAAGTGCAACGAAGCCAAGTAATCAACCAGGAAGAGGTATACCTCATTGCATGCGACACGTGGGCGGCCAACCGAGAGACTGAAATCATTTCCACGCCCTGTGGGCCAACTGAGCCTGCAGAACTTCCAGAATGAAGCCAATACCATAGAGGAGGAAGTACTTCTTCACAATGAATATATAAAACATGAAAATTTAGAATTTGAGAGTAATTTAAGAGTACATTTATAAGTTACTAAAAATCAGATTGAATACAAACATTGGCAACGTTTCGGACAACTAATCCACTATTTGTAATAAACCATAGTTATTCAAACAAAGATGGAAAATTCACTGCTCATTAATAATATAATTTTTGTAAAATCAGTTTCCACCAACTGTTAATAATCTTCATAATATTACGTGTTTATATCGGTTTACGTAATAATTCCCCACAATGATAATGTTATCGATTTTCGTGAACATCGTCTTTTCTCTTAAAAAAGAAACTATTCAAACTAAGAATCATAGATCCGTGTGTGGGAAATGCACAGTGTTCACAAAGTGACATACTGGCCTTGTTTCTTTTATCATGCCATTAACAGTCTACTGATTATATTGTATGACGCAGAGGTGGATAAAATAAACAACAACCTGAAATCGAGTTTAACTTAAATAATGGACTGTACAAAATGTGATAAGGTAGACGAAGTGTCCATTTTATTGTCATGACTATTTCCTATGTTATATAATTACAAATTATTATAATATCCGACATAACCCTGCTCTGTGATCAATGTAAAGAAGGCACAGACTAAGGAACTTATAATGAAAGACAGAACCTGATTGTACTTAAACACATTCAATATAGAATATTTACTGAAGGTAAAATAAAAATTATTTGCCCATTAATATTGCAAAATACGAATCACGGAACACGAAAGATGATCCCAATGAAAAAAATAATTCATTTTTCGAGGTTTCATTCGAATTAATAGCAAATTGCATTGCGTTACATATTTCAAAATAAAATGAAGAAAGGGTTTCGTTTCATGAAAAAATCCTATTCCTAGACTTTACAAACTTTACATATAATTTAAATACCTATAGAGGTGCATTCAAATGGAGAAAATGTTTGGTTGCTAATATTCTATAGAAAAATGGCCGTGAAGTAACGTATCTCAAAGATTACAATTTACTTCTGCTGCTATAAAACCAAGGATTGTTATTCTAACTCATACACGTAGTATAGCAAATTTGTCAGCAATACATTTTAAGAGTTCCTAATACCGAAAAATATTTATTTCATTATTATACATCAGCGAAATATTACAGAGAGAGGATTTATATAGGAGAAATACATCAGCGATATATTTCATTATTAAATAGCTAAAAAAATATCAAAAGTTTTAAATGATCAATTTTCATTCTCAAATTTTCGAGATTATGCTACTTCAAAATGGAGCATTTCCAAAAAGTCTCAATTTTTTCTAAAAAATGTTCCTGTAAAAATATATTCGTATTTTTTACTTTTCTATGATATTCAATTAGTTCCATTTTATTGTTAACACGCTAATTTGTATTTGTATTCCACCCTCCAATTGTATTGGAAGATGGATAAGATTGGCAAATTACTGTAGGAACGTAAAATTAAGAAATCTTAAAAAATTAAATATGTTTAGATGAAACACAGTACCGCCCTAAAATATCAAAATCACATAAACGAAAAGTACGATATCCTGTTAACTGACGCATATTAAAGGAGGAAGGGCAACTATGGACTCCAGTGAAGTGTTTCTATTTTCTATTAGTCAAGGATTTACTGTTTCATCGTTTAAATCGGAAGAAAAAAGTAAAAAATTGTCGTTATCGTTAAAAAGGATCGTTAAAAAAAATAGAAACTATACTTTTTCTTCCTTTCCTGAAAAGACTTATAATTCAAATATAAAATTTGAATGTAATTTAATTTACTTAAAATATATTTAATTAATTTGTTGTTGGCACTCTAATAACATTAATGCTCATATAATAGACTAGCAAATCATTGAAAACACATTTTTAAGTATTGTAATCTTTCTAAGTATTGCTGATGCGTAAAAGTTTTTTTTAACCTTCTTAATCTCAATAGGAATGTAATGGAATAAAATTGTGAGAGAACTCTAGCCCCTACAAGACCATCGAAATGTCTCATTCGACTCGTGATTAACTCTAAATATTGCGAAATCGCATTTTCTGAATGTTTTACTTTTATGGCTCAAGAAAACTAACATAAACAGGTAAGATTTATAATACAAGCTTCTTTTTTCAACGAGCAAAGAGAAGTCCTGTTTTAATCTGATCGTCCTCGTGACTGTAAATTTGTTCGTAAGGCATTTCCTTGTAATCGCATTGTTCTATTTTCTTCAAATTTGGTATAGATGTTCCTTAAAGTCAAGAAAAACGATGTAAATGTTATATTTTTTTCTTGGCACAAAAGGTCGACTGTCCACACCTCCATTAGTGTACATACACATTTCAATGACTCCCTCCTTCACCCCTCACCGAACACAGAGGCCAACCCCCGCCCCCTTCCAATTGGGTCCAATAGTATTTCTTGAATCGTGGTACCTAAGACGACGATGAAACTAGTTTTGATGTCGAAATCTTACAGATCTGTACATTAGAAACACCTCGACTACTACAATCGATGAAACAATTTCCTTAAAAAAAAGTCTATTTTTACAGAGTCTTTGTGCTTACACTTCTTGACTAAAAGTGCTGAGTCTACCGGACGGGTTTGCGTCCGCTCCGCTGAATACTTTTTCTCCGCGCGTTCTTCGCTGTACATTCTTCAGCGTACCGCAAATAACTCAACACCACAAAAGAAACCCAATAGCTGACTCAGCAAATACTCAAACGCAAGCGAGGTCCGGACTTTGAGACACCCAGGACCCCCAAGGCAAATAATATAGGTAAAGGTAATCATCAAAAACAAAAATTGCTTTAATTTTTATTTAACATTAGTTTACAACAACTTAATCAGAATAAGATTCAGAAAGCTGACAAAAGTTTTTGTTTCAGGAATCACAAAACAACTTTCTACATGTTTTCCTACACATTGTTGAAATGTAATTTTTTATGTTGCTTTCCTTTTATTTCAAATGCATATCTAAAATATGGGGAGATTTTGCGTTTTGTAAATTATGTACCCTTTCTGCAAAAATGATATTTTACCTGCACGTAAGTTGTGAAGATGCTGCAATAAGAGGCAATATACTAGCATAACATGAATATTAATAACACTTTAAATCCTGCAATTCAAGGAAATAGTAGAAACACATAAATTTATTAAATTTCTTCAAACCAAAGTAATGAAGGGAATTTGCCGGCATTAATTTACAAATTTTGTGTCTTGTTCATCGCCCTCCTCTCTACTTTCAAGTAATTGGAAGGACAATTGAGAAAGGTCTCGACGAACCCAAGGTACCGTGCTGGTATGTGTTACCGAAGTTTCTGAACATTCTCAACATTATTGGGTGTTTTGGTGCGGTACTAGTTGGGTATGCTTAGTCCTGACGAAAACTTGGAAGTTCAAAGTAAAATTTCAGAGAAAATGTATGTTTAACACGTCCATCAATACACTAAGAAGCAGTGTTTTTCTTCCTTCGTATTTGAATTATATTCCGAATGCCTCTGCTTGGACAACTGGAAACTTACTTTCTTGTCCTTTGGAATACCTTTCCCGGTTGTCTCAGCTGAAAGAGCGAACTTTTTATACTTCCTTGATCATGAATTCACGTATGTCAGTAGTATTTTTCCTGTTTGGTAGTGAAACAACTAGATATACTACTCTTCATTATGAGCTTGTAGTATTGTTCTTCGGTGTACATTCTTTTTCATGAGTCACTTTATAGGTCCATAATACCTTACACAGGGCAAAAATGAAGTCCACTTCGAGGGAGATGCAGTTTTGAAAATGTTAACAACCATACTGAGAAAAAACAGAGCCAATCTGTGATTTTTATTTTCTACTGGTCATTCATTACAGCAAAACATTAGATACTGGAACTTTTCATTTTATGTTCGAAAATTTAGTTTAATAAAGAGCTACAAATTTCGAGAATTTTCTTCGCAGTATCTTGATGATAGACATGGAGTTGAATGATCAGTCTCTTTGGTTGCGTATACAGAGAATGAATACTAAAAATTGTCATAAACACTCCAGACTATTATTTACGTTGCAATAAGGGGATAATGTTAGATAATCCCTTTCTTCACATTTTAGAAATATCATTTGGCAGAATTTCCAAAGGATTCCTACGTCCCAATGAACAAATGTGCATCACTTTTTCACAGCTTGTAGGTCTAAACTCTAACTACCAATTTACGAAAAAAGTCAAGTTCTTAGATATCCTCTTTATGCATCTTGTAATTAAACTAGTACACCATTTTGTATCATAAAAGGCTTATTCCTAGGCAGTTACCTACCTCTATCTAAATAAGAAGTTCGCAGCTGACATGAGAACAAGGTCGCTAGTGTAATAAACTGTATGAGTTCGTTATCAGCATTTACGTGCACTGCTAACTTCATGTTTGTCATCGCATCTGTTTCTGAAACACTAGATTCTGCATAGCTATTTTTTTAGATTGTTAGAGCGAAAATATAATGCGGCAGTAGGTGGCATTGGGCGTTTGCGGGTTAAAATATTGGCACCGGTCTCATTTTCGTTAAACTGTCTGAAGTTTCGAAAATTTGTAATTTTTGAAAGAATGAATGAAAGTGCTAATGTATCCCACTTGTTTATTCATCATTTTGATACCACAAAAGGCTACAGTTGAATATTGACTTTCATTTAATGTAATTGAGAAATTAATGTTTACAGTAAGTGTAGTGCGAGTTATGTTTTGGAAGATGATGGTGTTCTCGCTTGTGGTTGGAAAGTGAGATCTGGCATTGAACCAACAGTCTGCTTGGGGAGAATTTCCTCCAATAAGTACATCCCGCAGCGGGGCACCGCATCACCCGGAACAAGCATGTAAGTTCCCGACGTGTGTGGTATTGTGGTACATGTAAAGGTAGGTATATGTATGTATGTATGTATGTGTATATATATATATATATATATATATATATATATATATATGTATGAGTGTGTGTGTGCGCGCGTGTGTTGTGCGCGCGTGCGTGTGAGTGCGCGCGCGTGTGTGTGTGTGTGTAAAGGAAGACAAGGGAACATAGACGAAGGAATGAAAAATCATGCGAGGTTTGTGGCCCGTTTGTTAAGGTACGGCTCCGGCATTCGCCCGGTGTTGTTCGGAGAACCCACGGAAAACTACCGATCAGAACAGACGGCGGCTAGAATTCTCCTCCAGGCAGCGTCTGAATTCGACTTAGCTAACAAGCTGGTGTCGAAAATCCTGTCACCGTCGGTCGGGTGTGGACCTCCCGATCAGAGGCACCGCAGTGACATCACTTGATGCCCAGAGCCACCTCTCCCGGTCAGCCCAGAAGAGGCAACGCATTTCGTCACTTAGCCGCTTCGTTCGGTCCTTGTAATTATCGCAACCCATTACATCCCTTTTCCCTCCACTCGGGGTGCGGGTGAGGGCGGGAGCCTAATTGGCGGCCGCTGTGCCTGCGGCGGGCAGGCGAGCGGCACCATGCGCCGCCAAGCGCCTCATAAACCCTCGTTGTTTTCGTCATAATAGGCCGCGAGATCCCATCGCATGCAGCGACTGCTTCGCGGAAAGCGAACGAGGTGGGGGTGGGGTGGGGGAGGGGTGGGGAGGGGAGGGGAGGGGCTCCGCAAATGAGTTTCCGGTGGCGCCGCCCCACTCCTCACGCCGCTCCACCCTCCAGCGCCTTGGCCACTGGCCACGGACGCGCGCGCACGGGCTGGGTAATTAAATGTGGAGATAAAGACTGTTTGCACGTTCTAGAGTTTTATTTTCATTTCAAGATTTTGCGAAAATTCCTCCGGACGAAACCCATTCCTCCGGACCAAACCACTCTCGTTGTACCTAATACCTAGTTACATAACGAACTCGGCATCCCTCCAATTTTCGTCCATTTCTCCCTCCTATCCTCTCCCTTCTACCCAAAAATCCTCCAGATTCCCTCAGCCGTACATTTCGATATCGAAAAACAAAATCTTTATCACAACAGACTAAAACGGAAACTACCGTGACAGTTCTTCGAGCCTCCTTGATCATGTACTTGTGTGGTTTCGTACATTCAATCCACAAACATTTATTGAATATACTTAACGTGTCCATATTTTCAAGGTATTCGTCTATCAATCATGTTTCCTAAGCAATGTTCATATTTTTCATTTAACTCTCATTGTATGGTACCCGGCTCCCGAGGGCCTACGAGCCATGCAGAAATTTTCTTTTTTAAAAGCAGTAGAACGAGTATGAATGACCTGTGCCCTTGACAGTTAATTTGATTGATGGTTTTATTATATGTAATAATTCTATGAACTGAAAATGACTGCAGTTAGCATCTACACCTTTGTGTGGGTTAAATTAGCAACTCTACCTCACAAAACATTCATTATATATTTATCTCCTTAATACGAGAGTTTGAGAAAACCTGGAACTTCAAACTTAATTGACGATCTGTTATTTTTTCCAGAAATTGCATGACTTAAAAAAATACAAATTGCAGTTCTGCGTTCCACAAAATGTTCTAAATGGGTAGTTGGAATATGCTTAATTCACTATTTTAATCGAATAAGTTCGAAAGGTATAACGATTCTTCAATAAACACAGGATTTCTCAGAAGGACAGATAAAAATTATCTTCAAAATTTAATTACACAATTTAATAGGCACATGTGGGGAGATTGAGTAAAATACAAAATCTTAAATTAGCTTTAAGTTACAAGTACGTGTAAACTTTTCGGTACTTCATAATTGAGTGAGTTTTATTGAATTGGAACCAAAGTGTATACAAAGTGTATAGTATTGTTTTGGAACCAAAGTATACACTTTGGTTCCAAAACAATACTATACACTTTAGTTCCAATTCAATAAAACTCACTCAATTATGAAGTACCGAAAAGTTTACACGTACTTGTAACTCGTACAAAAGTCACCCTCATTGAAGATCTATCATCCACACTAAACTCAAGAGTTATGTCTCTGCAGGGTTAAGTCTCTTCAGATATACGGATTTTTGATCACTGAAAAACATCAAATCATTTTCCATGCTCCACATATACAAAGTAAAACTTAGAAATATTATTTTGTAGATTACCATTTCCCTCGCGTTCTTTCAAATGATGTGATTTCGCAAAACGGATCTTACGCCCAAAGGGACTTCGAATAGAATTTTAAATCAATTTGAATTTTCAATTTTAATACTGAATACATTTAGCTATTAACTAAAACCAACCATTTTAACTTTCTCGTTTGCTTAGGATAGATAAAGTTATAAAAGTAATTCTGCTAAAGAAATCGGTCTCGAGACTTTGACGGAAGTACTCGTTTTGCAGGATTCCTGGTATCGAAACAGGTTCTCTTTAAAAACGGTCATGCACAATTTTTTGGAAAAAGGAGTTGTTTTCGCATGATTTGTGCTTGAAGTTTAAGTAATTTCTAAAAAAAATATTTTCTCCAAAACCGCCCATTTTTTTTTCAGGGATAGAAGGGATGTTTAATATAATGACGTAGGTATCATTTTCATTAAACTCTTTGAATTTTCGAAAACTTGCACATTTTTTAAAATACGAGAAAGTATGTACTTTTGTAGAATTACTGTTTTCTGTGCGTTTTTTTCTCAAGTAAAGGATATTGCAGTAATAAATATGGTAAAAACTTGTTTTCCTTGAAATCTTTGAATTTTCGAAAATTGTAAAAGTTTAATTCTTTTTCGTCCCTGATCTACCACTATATTATTAAATTTAGTTATATTTTCTTAATATATTGTCATCAAAATTAAATATTTAAACGATATTTTTGCAAATATGTATGGTTTGCATGCAATTTTGAGTCAAATCGTGACTATTTTCCACAAACATGTATACAATATTTTCTCGAAACTGTTCCAATTTTTTTCTTTCCCTATATTCCGTGTTACATTTTGTTTTCATAATTTTAAGGCATTGTCATTCTCTATTGAGATAACGTTATTAAGTTCAAATGCATCATCTTCATGATTGATGGTAAGGATAAGGATAACCACGCATTACTATAAACCTTTGTGACAATTTTTTTCATAAAAGGAGTAGAAAATTAGAAACGATAATAGTACAAGAGCAACAAAGATGCACACATTTCTCAAAGTTGTCTCAATTGGAAACACGTCTGCATTTTTACGCGGTAGGTAACCAGCAACCACAAGAAGGATGGAGCTCACATGTAAATATAGAATATAATTTTGGGTGTCGGTCTGAAAGATGACGTGTCTGTCATACATATTAGACCTATAATTTAAACATATTTTTCACCAATCCGCGATTTACAGGTTATTCCAGTCACTATTTATCAGCACAAATAAACGAATGTGGAAAACAAAACGCTTGGAGTTTCTGTTGGTAATTTTAAGTTACTTATTTACATTCAGTAGCTGAAAGTGTATATTACTGTGTATTACTTTTTGAAGAGATACTTTAGATTACTTTGTGGATAATTTGTCGATACCTTTCCCACATTAATCTTCCGATGGAAGAAAGACTGATTTCTTCCTCCGATGACAATTTTTTGAAGGTACGATCATGATACTCCTTATCCCCTACACGTATCCGCCCGCAAGGAAAAATGGAAGACGGATGAGTAGAAAAAGACGCCCCGCCTTCGGGAGGGGAGGGCGGCTGTCGCTGCCTGAAGGACGGGCGCGATTCCCCATCGCGAGAACCGCTGCATCGCGTGCAGGAGCTTCCGTCAGGAGGGGCGGCGGGCGGCGGCGGGCGGCGGCGGGTCAACGCACTGCCAGTCAGCAATCTCCACCTGCGCCCGCGCCGCGTACGCTGACGCAAGGCTTTTCCTAAACGGTTACTGGTTCACAGCCGGCTCGTGACTGCGATATTTGTCTCGGGCTCTGTGCGCTCCGCGATTCGTCCTGCTCCGCACAGAGAACGGCGGAAAGAAGCCCGAAGCTTCCGTCTAATCTCTCCCGTGCTTGGACAGCCCTCGCAGCTTGCCGTTATCCGGCTGTTTTTTT